ACCACCACCACGAGCAGCACCACCACCAGCAGCACCACGAGCACCACCACCAGCACCACAACCAACACTACCAGCAGCGGGAGCAGCAGCGAAGCAGACAACGCTCTAAATACTCTAACGTGAGTGCCATGTTCCTAGTGATAGCAAGTAAATAATAACATATACACCCACCAACACAGAGACATACGCACGTGCACACACGCGAACGCACGCACGCACGCACCAACACACGCACGCACGCACGCACTTGCACAGACATACATACGCACCAAGAGCACATAATAGAGAGCTCATCTCTATTATGAGCTCTTGATACACGCATACGTTTAACAGCGAATTATTGAAATAGCTCGTCATTCACGTGTGGTGCGACTAGTGGTGTTTGTAAAGCTAGGTCTTGACTCCTTATATCATCTACCACGCAGGCAAATTCACTGATAGACCCTGGGAATAGCATGCGTTTCTGTGACAAACAATATCACGCGGTCATATACATAAATGCATAGTCTTTGTTAAATGTGTTAGATCAAACTGCTCTAATGTCATAACTGCATAAAATAAGGTATAGTGTACAGTTGCATAATATCCAGTACAGCTAATAACCCTACCTCTCCGCTTTTCTCCATCACAGGTACACCACGTGATCATGGCGTCGTACAGGTAAGTCTACGGCAGTTAGCTCATATATGTTTTGTATTATTTATCATGAATGCGTGTTATATAACATGTATATGCTTATAGATATATGTATAAATATGTATAGATATGTATAGATATGTATATATGTATAGATAGATGTATAGATATGTATCTATATGATATGGTCTATGATATGTAAATGATATGTATCACAGTATATACGTTTGTTATAATACTTTGGTTACTGGTGTCGTTGAAGGAAAGCGACTCTGGCGGATCGGCAGCAAGTAGTAGACATGCAGGTGTACGAAGGACTAGACTACATTCAGAATGTCTACAACCAGCATCTAATACATACATACATACATACATACATACATACATACATACATACATACATACATACATACATACATACATACATACATACATACATACACATACAGTCAGACAGTCAGAAACAAGCACAGAACAAACGCACCTCCGCAATTTGATCTTAATCCGCGCATACGCAAATGTGTAATACTCATCACTGCCTATATGTCACACTATCACATCATCATACTATCAGGAGTAGATAATAGAAGACTATATAAGACTTCTATTATCTACTCCTGATACTATGATATATCGCACTAATGTACATCTCGTTACCCGATACGACAATGGTTATCGTTTGGCCGTAACTCTGACGTCACGCATTTCTTACACTCCCGATTTCATAATTAATAACCCGTTTGTCCACCAGGTGTAGGCCCCCTACTACTTGCAAAAGGTGTGCACAAGCAGGAATAAATATAGCAACCCAAGGCCGCCAAGGGACTTTGGATCAGTCGGCTAGCAGGTGTAAATAGTAACGAGAGTGCGCGTTGATATAATCTACTGAGGCACCTAAACGTGACGCCTGCGAAAAATTGCGATTCGCAGCGAATTACGCATGCGCAATGAATGACGCACGCCTGATATGTATCAAGGTCACAAGTAGTGCATAGGCTACTAATATTCTAGCTCCATAAAACAGTACATAGCAAAGATCGTATAGTGCCGGAGACGATCTTTGGTACATAGTACAGTTAAATAATACAAACTACAGCTGACAAGCCTGCTTCTCTCGATCACATGTACACGGCGGGATCATGGCGTCATACAGGTAAGTCTCCCGCAGTTAACTGTGTGTTTTGTACGATTTATTATGGATGCTTTTAATGTAACCCAATTTCGATCACAGAATATACGTTTGTTGTAATACTTTGGTTACTGGTGTCGCTGAAGGAAAGCGACTCTGGCGGATCGGCAGCAAGTAGTAGACATGCAGGTGTACGAAGGACTAGACTACATTCAGAATGTCTACAACCAGCATCTGACTGAGTGGAACTCATCGGCTTACGTTGGGGAGAAGGATGGAAAAATTGTACGTTGCAGTTGTTATTCATTTACTCCTTTTGTTCTCTATTAATAGTTCCTGATAAATAAAAAATATTTAGATAATTAGTCTTTTGATTTTAATTGGATAATTTAATTACCGTATAGTCATAGTACACGTGCAACACTTTCGTAACTTGACTATGAGAAAATTATAGGAAATGGCAGAAAATCGTTACTTTTGTATTCTAATCTATGTCTCCTTCTTCCTTTTACGTTACGTCATATTATTATTTTCTTCTGTTTAATTGCTCATGCAGAGCCATTATAATACGATAGAACGATACTATATTCCTATTACCACTATGTCTTCACGTGCCAAGCAAAATCTTGCATCGGTATTCCACTAACATCGATACAAACATGCAAGCTACATCTGAATGTGCGATGCGCATTGTTGCGACCGCTACCTAAAGAATAAGAACAACGCAATGAGTTATTAAAATCACTATTATACATCGCTCGCTATACTAAATACATAAAAAATATTCCAGGTGGCATTTCACTTCATCACACTCGTGGACGATGGCGATACGATTATATCACGCGGGGCTCGCACTAGAGAAGAATACAAACATCAAGGCATCATCAATGGTCTCTACGAATATGCGTTTAACGATTTCACTGAGCGCTATCCTAGCGTCAGCTGGAAGGGAGGCGTCCGCCATGTGATTGGTCACGTGACTACGAAGCCAGAAACTCGCATAGTTTGCAAGGCGGTATGTACGAGTTATTTTCTAATTAAGCAATTACTTTTCAAGCTACTACGTGAATTTAGTCATTATTGTGTTATTACTACATCTTCTTACCAAAGCCAGAATTTTAATAAAACAGTATTTTCGACCCGATAGCATAACGAGAAACGTTAAATTGATATGACATCTCTTGTTTCTCACTTCCTGTTATATAACCCCTCCGAACAACTGAGACTTAATTAATTAATTAGGATATGTTATATATAACGCATATGTGTGTCTGTCTAATTTCAGCCTTTCTGTACGATGAAACCAATAAGTCCTGACACAATATTACGTCACTATGGTAAGTCCGGCCGCTTGTCGGACTATGGCAGCTTACAGCAGCTGACCAAAGGTCAAATCCACCGATTGTTCACGACGCAAGAGGTCGCCACCAAGCTGTTCGGTGAATACAATGATCACGTGGTCATATCATGGATGCCGTATCGGACAATGTCTGACACAAATGTACAGATCATTATGGAGCATGAGAACCCGACCGTGTTCGCGGACATAGGAGGCGCTGGCAGCAACTTCGACTGTACGTCTGCTAGCTTCTCTACACGAGTCCCACTGTACGCGAAAAACTACCCGTCCGGCACTCACGTTAAATTCGACATCGATATCTACTCAAGTGACCGCGAGATGGCGCTCAAACATCTGTATTCGCAGGTGTATCATCAATGCACTCAGGCGAGAGCTTCGAAAGGCGACATTAAGATTCACTTCATGGTGTTCCTGAATTGCCCATTAGAGAGAGAAGCTGTTTTCGATGCTTTGGTCAGTATGGGCATGAAGCCACGAACCAATTTTTTGGGCGGATTGAAAGATCCACGTATGTTTGGCTCCCTGAGTCCAATAGAACGTGCAGGCGCGAAGGAAGATAGAAAAGATAAAACGAAGGCATCACTAACACCAACATCGAAACTTTAACAATCGAGGACTTTACGCGAGTTCCCGAGAAGTTATCCAGGGATAAACGCTCGTGCACGCATCGGTTTAGTAGGGTTTACTAGCTAGAGGACAAAATCATAGAATAATGACTTTTCGACGCTTTGGTTAGCATGGGTATGGAGTAGATACAATAATGTAACCCAAACACAGGATAGGTTATCCTGCGTTTGGGTTACATTAATGTATCTAGGGTATGGAGCCGCAAACAAATGGAATGGGTGGATTCGTACAACCGCTTACAATGTTTGCTTTCCTGAACCCAATTAACCGTGTAGGCTGGAAGCAAGGTAGCAAAGATAAAACTGAGCAGCAATCACTGCGACCGACATCGCAACTATAAAAAAGCTTTTACGTGAATTCTTATGATCAGGAAGTCAATTTGATGAATGTTATTGTCTTGCGTTACACTATAGGCCTCGGTCAATGTTATATACGTAGTAGCTCTGGTGTATTGATTTCTATACTCTCGATGTTTAGGTTTTGTTGGGTTGGGTAGAGTGAACAGTTGCAATCTAACAGGCATCAGAAAGAGAAGCTTTGCATGTTGATAGATTGTGAAATCTGAACTTTGGTTTCATATTTAGGTCTTGCGTATTAAGTTAAAAAAAAAACTCTGGAATGTGGCGGCAAGATAGGTATCTATGAGGGCAAGGTAGCTGGAAGCAAGGTAGCAAAGATAAAACTGAGCAGCAATCACTGCGACCGACATCGCAACTATAAAAAAGCATTTACGTGAATTCTTATGATCAGGAAGTCAATTTGATGAATGTTATTGTCTTGTGTTACACTATAGGCCTCGGTCAATGTTATATACGTATATTATATAAACGTATATTATATATTATATATATATATATTATATACGCATGTTATATAGTAGCTCTGGTGTATTGATTTCTATACTCTTGATGTTTAGGTTTTGTTGGGTTGGGTAGAGTGAACAGTTGCAATCTAACAGGCATCGGAAAGAGAAGCTTTACATATTGATAGATTGTGAAATCTGAACTTTGGTTTCATATTTAGGTCCTGCGTATTAAGTTAAAAAAAAAACTCTGGAATGTGGCGGCAAGATAGGTATCTATGAGGGCAAGGTGTAAATTATAAAACGTGAGTTAATTTATCATTGATTAATAAAATTACAGTTAGTATAGATCCATGTTATACGTTGAATTGCATAGAGCATGAAAAGGTCGGCAGTTGCACGGAGAGAGGAGGGAAACGCATGAAGGTAATACCCAAAATTTGATGGACAATGCGGTTTGCTTTAACGTGTGATAATATATGTAGCCTAAGTATCTGCAAAAGTTGCAATTGAGAGAGTCATAATACATCTAAGCACCACACAAACGCAACTAAGTTTGTAGTGGTAATGCTTTGTCGATCTGCCTGCTAGTTGTGTTTATATGATACGGCCATGTTGATAGAAATACGAGACAATATTTGCTACATTTATATAATATTTAAGACGATATATTTTAGCATAATTTTACAGCGCGTTTTCTGTAAAAAAATATTGTACAATATTTTAAAACGTTGAGATGTAATACGTCCATCTCTCTATACGCAATCTTGCACAACAACTTATTGGTAAGTTTCGTTAAACGTTCGCAGCTTCATCCGCCTGCGCTTGCATCGCTCGGTTTTCCACACCCGCACAGCAGCAGCATCCGACAACAAAAAGTCACCTAATACCTCTCAGTGAGCTATTGACTTTTTTAAAATACGCTTGATAGTATAGTCCTAAATACCGGGATCATGGGCGTAGACACGCGTGGCATATGTCGTTAAGTCGCAGGATCTGTTTCGGTTCACGTAAACTCACTGGAGCGAGACAGACGCAACACGGCGTATACTCAGACGCAACATACGCAACATGACTATATAGTTCACAGCACGGCTGGCCATTATACTCATCAGTTGAAAATAAAACGACTTTGTTGCGACCTGTTGCCGCAAAAAAAGTAAATACTTTAAATGCGTATCAGCGTCTCAACTCACGAACACGTGCGCGCTAGGCGGGGGGTTTTCACGTACGCGGTTTAAAAACACATCTATGTGCGTTCGAATTTTCGTTTTAAAAATGCGAACGCGAGCGGCAATGCACGTTTTACGACCCCTCGAGAAAAAAGAAACCGCGAAAATACATGGAATATAATACATAAACTCACTGCGAAATGTAAACGGGAATGTTAACGATAATTTGATCACTTTTCTTTTGCGCACAGTAGACGTGTATTTATTTGCTATTTGAGATGACCTTTACAGTCTAACATAATACACAAGGCTCTTCTTATGTAAGACATTCGCTGTAGGATAAAGATCACGATAGAGTAATAATTTTCTTAGATTGTTTGCAACTACCATTTGGAACCCAAACACGATGTTAGTTACAAGTAGATATGCTAGAATAGCTTACATTTTGTGATGTAGATGGTGTTACATACACAAAGTAGGTGGCAGGGTGAGTGCAGACACAATTTATACTCCCGTTCCACGTGTATAGAGAAGGTTTACCTGGGTCCCAGATACAATAATGTACGCGTGCAAACAGATTGTTTTTAAGTTTTCGTATTCAGGTAATGCTTTAACTACGTATTTGATATATTAACTGTTTGTCTGGTACAGTGTCAAATGCTTTCATAAAACCCATGTATATGCAATCGATATTCACACCCTCATCCGATAGTTTAGACAAGGCATCACGAACGCGTTATAGCTGCACAGCAGTAAAGCGGCCGAATATGAATCCAAACGTATTCCTACTAAATAGTTTGTTTCTTGCAAAAGTGTTGCACAATCTTTTCACGGATTAAAAACTCTCATATTTTGTACACTGTGCTGATGATTCTAATTGACATACAGTTGCTCGGTTGCATCTCTCCTAAGCACTGTGTTTATTGTTTATCTTCTTACTCAGAGTTATGTCAGCAGAAACCTTATTCTTATTTCGCCAATTAGGCTGACCACTGTCCAAGTGACGAGGAACGAACATATCCTGCAAAGTTACATTCTCTGTATAGTCCTTCATACTCAAATAAATTTATGTTCATGTCCCTTTCCACAGCAGCGTACTGTTCCTTGTCAAACGAGTGTTTCATTCTTCGAGTACTATTAGCTCTTGGTATTATCCATATTAATATAACAGTGTAAGTCAAATGATAATATCGCATGATCCCTGCACCATAGTGCATAGTCTGATTTCACCTATCATATTTTCTTCATTTGTAAAGGTTATGTCAAGTTCTTAATCGTACTTGGTGACCCATCAGTCATCAATCTTATCGGCCGGTGTACATGTTGGAATAAGTACAAATCTCGTATCGATTCAACAAATTTGAATTCATTGCTAAGCTCAGATTTTGTCGTGTTAATTCCACTAAATACAGTTATAGTTGAAATCGCTGAGGAATAGCCTGGTGGTTAATTATCGGTTAGCGGCAGAGCACATCTGATGGGCATATCAAACAGTTTATTGTTCTTGCGAGCCACTGTCATTCCTATACATACATACAATCAAGAGCATATAAAGAATCCCAAATATATATATAATACTCTTCTTTATATGCTCTTGATACAATGGGTAATTTAGCATCTTTATCCAGTCTAATTTCTCTCCAACACGCTTCGTCATAATCCACGAGGTCTTCCATATCGGCAGTCCTAGGAGTTTCGCGAGTGCAAATATGTACACTCGTACCTTCTGTCGACTGAAAGCCACGTTTAGCGAGTGTAATTCGTAAGATATTCACTGTGATGCCCCCCCCCCCCAGTGTGATATCTCGATAGTGTTCTTGGCTTGACCTCGGTAATTGCTATAACATAAGCAAGAGCTAATAATACCTAGCTATTATTAGCTCTTGATATAAGGTTTCTCGATAATCGCAATCATCTTCACTTCTGCCATTTTATTTGATGAAGAGTCTGCATAAGTGACAATTAACACACGGCCATTCATTATCATTGTTTTTAGATAACGTTTTTACGTCATGTACCAGCGAAGTATTTTTGCATAGATGCACGCTTACTCTTCATCGATGATGTTAAATTATAATGCTATAATCTATTGACTCCATGAACAGTTAAGTACAGTTAGATAATACACGTTAGAGAAAACAATCTGCGATAAGCACACTCTTGTCTCAAACGCAGGTACGCCACGTGATCAGGGCGTCATACAGGTATGTCCATAGTAATAACTTACAGAAACATCAATAGTTCGGTTTCCGTTTATGTTTACATCGAACTTGCGTGTTAGAATAGGAGCGTTGAAATCCTGGTAAGGACTATAAGGATCTATATACAGGGAAGAGTAAAAACGAGTATAAACTAGATATATGGGTTAATATATCCATCGTTGACAATTTTACAGTTCGTATTGATTACGAAGGGCATTGTCTACGGCTGCTTCCACTTTCGCGTAATTATGAATCAGCTTAGCAATGGCCGTGGAATAATAAAATGCTCTTACTATCCCAATTACCGCACACAACCTCTGTCTCCGAGTAGTATTTCCATGGCGTTTCATACGCACACACAACACAACCAAAACACCACACACACACAACACACACACACACACACACACACACACACAAATAACACACACCCACAACGACACACACACACACACACACACACACATACACACACACACACACACATACACACACACACACACACACACACACACACACACACACACATACACATACACATACACATACACACACATGCATATACACACATACACACACATACACATATACACATACACATACACACATACAAATACACACAACTCCACACCAACACCACACACACACACACAACACACACACACACCACCACATACACATACACATATGCAGACACACATACACATACGCAGACACACATACAAACACATACACACACACACACACACACACACACACACACACACACACACACACACACACACACCCCCACACATGCACCGCACGCACGCACGCACGCAGCCGACCGCACGCACGCACGCACGCACGCACAGCCCAGCACGTGCGCACACACACACACACACAGGTTTACCCGCGGAAGGGCTGCCCCAGATTTGAGAAAATGCCCGTCTGTGCATAAAACGTACAGTGCGTAGAAACAAGACGGCTACGTTATCATCGTGATATGCCTATCTTGGATTTAGTGAAAACCCAAACATTAGCCCGCCCCGTCTATATCACAGTAGTGTCGATAATGAAGCAACCAGTAGCACCACCATCACTACCCGCAGTAGAACAACAACCACTACCACAACCAGCAGCAGCAGCACCACAACCACCACTAACCCCAGCAGCAGCAGAACTACCACCACCAGCAGCAGCAGAACTACCACCACCAGCAGCAGCACCACTACCAGCAGCACCACGAGCAGCACCACGAGCACCACCACGAGCACCACAACTATGACAGCACCAGCAGCAGCAGCACTACCACCACCAGCAGCAGCAGAACTACCACCACCAGCAGCAGCACCACTACCAGCAGCACCACGAGCACCCACCACACCAGCACCACAACCAACACCACCAGCAGCGGGAGCAGCAGCGAAGCAGACAACGGCTCTAAATACTCTAACGTGAGTGCCATGTTCCTAGTGATAGCAAGTAAATAATAACTATAACACCCACCAACACAGAGACATACGCACGTGCACACACGCGAACCGCACGCACGGCAACGCACCAACCACACGACGCACGCACGCACTTGCACAGACATACATACGCACCAAGAGCACATAATAGAGAGTTCATCTCTATTATGAGCTCTTGATACACGCATACGTTTAACAGCGAATTATTGAAATAGCTCGTCATTCACGTGTGATGCGACTATCTGTGTTTGTAAAGCTAGGTCTTGACTCCTTATATCATCTACCACGCAGGCAAATTCACTGATAGACCCTGGGAATAGCATGCGTTTCTATGGCAAACAATATCACGCGGCCATATACATAAATGCATAGTCTTTGTTAAATGTGTTAGATCAAACTGCTCTAATGTCATAACTGCATAAAATAAGGCATAGTGTACAGTTGCATAATATTCAGTACAGCTAATAACCATACCTCTCTGCTTTTCTCCATCACAGGTACACCACGTGATCATGGCGTCGTACAGGTAAGTCTACGGCAGTCAGCTCATATATGTTTTGTATTATTTATCATGAATGCGTGTTATATAACATGTATATGATTATAGATATATGTATAGATATGTATAGATATGTATAGATATGTATATATGTATAGATAGATGTATAGATATGTATCTATATGATATGGTCTATGATATGTAAATGATATGTATCACAGTATATACGTTTGTTATAATACTTTGGTTACTGGTGTCGTTGAAGGAAAGCGACTCTGGCGGATCGGCAGCAAGTAGTAGACATGCAGGTGTACGAAGGACTAGACTACATTCAGAATGTCTACAACCAGCATCTGACTGAGTGGAACTCATCGGCTTACGTTGGAGAGAAGGATGGACAAATTGTACATCAGAGTTCTTACTTATTTACTCATATTGTTCTCTCTTTACAGTTCTTGTTAATTTATAGACTTCCACTTTTTGCTCCCCATGCAGTGCAATACTTTTGTAAATTATTGACAATTTACAATAGTAGATTTTATTCGCTTTTCTGCTCCTATTTTATATTTCGCGCTATATATGATTTATTTGTCTTTAGTTTTCAGTTTTCATTATTCTGGTCTTATAATTATTTCACGAGGGGTTGTATGTTCAGATTCCTATAATTGTTGCGTCATAATATATAAAACAAAAAATATTGTTATCTAAGAAAAGCAGAAATGTGCGGTATAATCTATTGTATCACCCGTATCATAACTCTAGATCTGTGATTCCTACAAACGAATCACATACATCATCCAAAATTTCAGGTGTCATTTAATTTCATCATTCTCGTGGACGATGGCGATACGATTATATCACGCGGGGCTCGCACTAGAGAAGAATACAAACATCAAGGCATCATCAATGGTCTCTACAAATATTCATTCAAGGATTTCACTGAGCGCTATCCTAACGTCTGCTGGTACGGAGACGTCCGCCATGTGGATGGTCACGTGACCACGAAGCCGGAAACTCGGATAGTTTGCAACGCAGTATGTGCGAGTTATTTTTTATGTAATCATAAAATGTTAGACTGTGTATTACAACATCATTGAAATCGTTTCAGAAAAGGTCAAAATTTACTAAACAATCACAATTATAGTTTACACTTTACACGATAGCGAATTTGACGACACAACGTTAAAATCTCGTTCTCAAAAAGTTCTCATCTACAATCAAACCTCTGACATGACTTTTCTAAACAAAATGGTCAGTATTTTATTAATTTATTAGCTATATATCAGCTGCATATAACGTATATGTTTGTCTACCTCATTTCAGCCCTGCTGTACGATGAAACCAATATGTCCTGACGCAGTATTACGTCACTATGGTGAGTCCGGCCGCTTGCCGGACTATGGTAGGCTACAGCAGCTGACCAAAGGTCAGATCCACCGATTGTTCACGACGCAAGAGGTCGCCACCAAGCTGTTCGGTGAATACAATGATCACGTGGTCATATCATGGATGCCGTATCGGACAATTGTCTGACACAAATGTACAGATCATTTGGAGCATGAGAACCGCACCGTGTTCGCGACATAGGAGGCGCTGGCAGCAACTTCGACTGTACGTCTGCTAGCTTCTCTACACGAGTCGCCACTGTAACGCGAAAAACTACCCGTCCCGGACACTCACGTTAAATTCGACATCGATATCTACTCAAGTGACCGCGAGAGGCGGCTCAACATCTCTATTCGCAGGTGTTATTCATCAATGCACTCAGGCGCAGAGCTCGAAAGCGACATATATTCAACTTCATGGTGTTCCCTGAATTGCCCATGTAGAGAAGAAGCTGTCTTTCGCTGCTTTGGGTCAGTTATGGCAGAATGGCCACGAACCAATTTTTGGCGGATTGAAAGATCCACGTATGCTTTGCTCCACAGTGTCGCAATAAAACGTGCAGGGCGCGAAGGAAGAAGAGAAAAGATAAAACGAAGGCATCACTAACACCAGCATCGAAACATTAACAATTGAGGACTTTACGCGAGTACTCGAGTGGTTATTCAGGAATAAACGCTCGTGCAAGCATCGGTTTACTAGCTAGAAGACAAAATCCTAGAATAATGATAACGTAACATGATCGGGAAAGGAGTAGATGTAGAGAGTTATGAGAATTTAACGAGAGGTATAACATTCTACGGTAGATTTCACGATTGTGTATGAAGGAATCTGCGTAGCAACGACTGTGCTTCAATAAAAATGTTTTTTATTAGCCACTTTACTGCACCTCTTTCTCTGAATAGTAAGTATCTCAGTTACGTGGACACACACGCTTGCATGCACGCACTCGCACGCAAACATACACACGTATGCACTCACACACAGACACAGACGCTTGCTCACGCGCACAAACGCGCGAGCGTGAGCAGGCACACGTGCGCGCGTACGCACCCACACATGCACACCCACACACACCTACACACGCACACGCACCCACACACTCACACACGTATACACACGCGCGTAAATCTGCAAACGTTCTTTACTCGTAATAAAATAATAAACATTCATAATGAAACTCGATTGAAAACGTTAGTGATTGCGGTCGGCAGACTTTGGACTATTCCGATATCGTAGGAGCATCAGCACACGTTTACACTTGCTGACGAAAAGTCGTCCAAAACTACTGCAAGAGCCACTCATCTATTCGGCCGGCGTGATTGACAGGTATATCTAGACAATCATTGTTTACTATGGGACGTTTCAAGCTCAACGCGGACATTTCGGTGTGTATGTGTGCAAAGCTGGATAGGCCCTCCGCGTACGTACAAACCAGATGTGATAAACGGACCTAGCGACAATAGCTGAAGAAGGGAGATTATCTCAGACGGACGGGCAGGGCAGTTAGAAATTCACCTAAACATTTGACGTGAACACGAGCGGTCGCTGCAGTTGTATTACTGTATTCGCATTTTTGGTTGGGAGCTAGTGCATACACACGCGCAGCAAGGCAAGTTCAACACATGGATCTGAAGTGACAAGGTCACAACCTATAGACTAATCTTGAGTGAGTGTCTTGTTGGCACAAACCCGCATAATGCAGTGCGCAGGCATTCTCAGGCATACGCAGGGAAGGTATAAACGGGTAAGTGCAGACACCAGTCATAACCCGCTGTGCGCCTGCAGATATCTGAGCATGGACTGTCCCTTACATGTTAACGTATCTTATTAAAAACAGGTTGTCGTATGTTTTCGTGCCTTTCGGTGATGCTATTGGTGCCTACAGGAACTTTAATAGCCACATGTATGCCTCAAAGCGTCTACATAGAAGTGAGCAGCAGCAGTAGCAGCGCCACCACCACCACTACCAGCAGCAGCAGCAGCAACAGCAGCAATGACAATGCTCTACAGGTATGCAACGTTCTCATGCAACGATTAACAGGTTCTCAACGATTACCGACGTTAGATAACCGGATCGCAAAAATGTATGGCGACGCAATGTAAACGTAACGTTACAACATTACAACGCACGTATAATTATTTACGCAGTTTACAATGTGCTTACACTGGAGGCGGATCGCAGGTCACGGCAAGCGCCACACCCACGGACGTTCTTGTGTTTTGTTGCAGGGACGCAACAATGGCCGACCCGCTGATCAACGTGCTCAGCCGATTCAGGTTGATGAATGACAGGATTACTGCCCAGCACCTACGACAAGCACGTCACCTCCAGCAGCGGTTGTGCCTATGTCGCCGAGAAAGACGGTGAAATTGTACGAGTACAGGAACGTAGACACGCGGTTAATTGTCATCGAATGTTTTTCAATCTGACGTGTCAGTTTTTAATGGATGAGTTTAAACAACGAACCCCTTTTCACCACCCTTTTTAACGAACCCCTTTCAAGGAAACATCAGCCAAGTTTAGTCGGCGCTTGTGTTCGAAACCATTGAAAATTTAATAGGTCCGCTTGACCAAGCGGGTGGGAAAACGATTGCGAGTGATGGGCTCGATTGAGTGGGGTTTCTAGAGTGCTTGCTATTTAGCGTATCCAACAGTGCCCATCATCGAAGTGATGAAGTAAACGAATCAATTGGGGCCAAATCTATTCCTACTAATGTACATATATGTACTGTTGCATCTGATGATGGTAATTACTGCTTAGCAAAGGAATTCATTGTTAGGCTTGTATGATGGGTATGTATGATTGCTCGTACCTTTCACGTTTCATACTTTAGAAGCAATTGTACATTAATTAATTAATCACAGCCATTCGTTCGCAGTTTAGTCAATTGGTAAATTAACACAATATTTGTTAATGAGGATTTGCTTTTGGATGCTTGCAGTTGGCCTTTGCTTTTCACACGGTCTGCAGCGATGGTGAAGTAATTATTTCAAGGGGTGCGCGGACTAAACATGGATATCACGGTCTGGGAATCATGACAGCTCTTGGTGCGCATGCCCGCAAAATGACACTGAGTAGATACCCTAACGTAACACTGATCGGAGGCACTAGGATGTCTGAGGTTTCCAAGCCGGTTCAGTACCCGACAAGATCAACGTACACCCTGCATATCGTGAGTTTATTTAGTTAAAGTATATATGTGAAGGCAGTTGCACCCTCTAACAATATAACGAGAGGGTGTATTATTAGGGAATGTACCCCTGTTCTTATATAAGGGGAGGAGGTCACTAAGGCTGGGGGAGGGTAGAGGATCATAGGCGAGGGGGAGGATGTATGATTATGGAGTATGGTGTATCAGAATATGAAGTGATTATGGATTACTGCATGATTACCATCCGCGTTCAGTGCAACGGTGTGTAAAACAAACCGACGTTAAGTCAATTACGATACATGAGATACATAGTTGTTTAGCCTTGTAAAATCCTCCTATTTTCTCTTTGAGAAAGTCAGCATGTGTATAAATCCTTACCAGCAACTCTTAGACATTTCAAATGATTCTAAATAAGAGAAAGGGATGGTGAGGTATGTAGAGAACGCTTGCACCCGCCACCTATCAGTAGTAAAGAGTCTTAAATGCCATATAATATAATAGGAATGCATGTAGAAATCATTTCATGTGTTGCAGCCGGTGTGCATAACGAAACCAGCCACACCGTATCCCACAGCCAAACACTTCGGTGTCGACGTTCCCATGCCAGACTACGATCATCTACAGCTGCTCAACCACGCCCAGATCCGACAACTGCTGACCTGTAGCGAGAGTTTCACGAAGATTGGCAAGGGCAAGCCGGTTGTTATAGGCTGGGTGCCGTTTACGAGAATGTCATCCGCTGATGTGCAGTTCCTCATGGAATGCGACAACCCAACTGTCATTGCCGATCTGGACGACAGAGGTCGCTGCTCGTCGGTTAGCTTTGCAACTTGCTACGAGACCTTGCTCAAAGTAGACCCCACGGACATCCACTATAGAATTGACATCGACATATATTCCTCTGATCGCGACCTGGCCATCCAGCATGTCTATTCTCAAGTTCACAGGCACAGCGTGATGTTACCAATGTACAACGCTAAAATGCATGTCTTTTTCTACCTTAATTGTCCTGCAACGAGAGAAGACATTCGGGATGCATTGCAAAAGATTGGAATAGAATTTCGTGAAAGTTTTCTCCATACAAAAATCCCCTACATGAGCGGGTATCTGCATCCCGTAACTGACACGCAATCAGGAATGACAAAGAGTGCAACCAACAGCCACAACCGCTTACAATGTTTGCTTTCCTGAACCCAATTAACCGTGTAGGCTGGAAGCAAGGTAGCAAAGATAAAACTGAGCAGCAATCACTGCGACCGACATCGCAACTATAAAAAAGCTTTTACGTGAATTCTTATGATCAGGAAGTCAATTTGATGAATGTTATTGTCTTGCGTTACACTATAGGCCTCGGTCAATGTTATATACGTAGTAGCTCTGGTGTATTGATTTCTATACTCTCGATGTTTAGGTTTTGTTGGGTTGGGTAGAGTGAACAGTTGCAATCTAACAGGCATCAGAAAGAGAAGCTTTGCATGTTGATAGATTGTGAAATCTGAACTTTGGTTTCATATTTAGGTCTTGCGTATTAAGTTAAAAAAAAAACTCTGGAATGTGGCGGCAAGATAGGTATCTATGAGGGCAAGGTATAAATGATAAAACGTGAGTTAATTTATCATTGATTAATAAAATTACAGTTAGTATAGATCAATGTTATACGTTGAATTACATATAGCATAAAAAGGTCGGCAGTTGCACGGAGAGAGGAGGGAAACGCATGGAGGTAATACCCAAAATTTGATAGACAATGCGGTTTGCTTTAACGTGTGAAAATATATGTAGCCTAAGTATCTGCAAAAGTTGCAATTGAGAGAGTCATAATACATCTATACACCACAAAAGTTTGTTGTGGTAATGCTTTGTAGATCTGCCTGCTAGTTGTGTTCATATGATACGGCAATGTTGATAGAAATACGAGACAATATTTGCTACATTTTAAGACGATATATTTTAGCATAATTTTACAGCGCGTTTTCTGTAAAAAAAATATTTTAAAATATTTTAAAACGTTGAGATGTAATACGTCCATCTCTCTATACGCAATCTTGTACAACAACTTATTGGTAAGTTTCGTTAAACGTTCGCGGCTTCATCCGCCTGCGTTTGCATCGCTCGGCTTTCCACACCCGCACAGCAGCAGCATCCGACAACAAAAAGTCACCTAATACCTCTCAGCGAGCTATTGACTTTTTTTTAAATACGCTTGATAGTATAGTCCTAAATACCGGGATCATGGGCGTAGACACGCGTGGCATATGTCGTTAAGTCGCAGGATCTGTTTCGGTTCACGTAAACTCACTGGAGCGAGACAGACGCAACACGGCGTATACTACATACAGACACAGACGCAACATACGCAACATGACTATATAGTTCACAGCACGGCTGGCCGTTATACTCATCAGTTGAAAATAAAACGACTCTGTTGCGACCTGTTGCCGCAAAAAAGTAAATACTTTAAATGCGTATCAGCGTCTCAACTCGTGAACACGTGCGCGCTAGGCGGGGGTTTTTCACGTACGCGGTTTAAAAACACATCTATGTGCGTTCGAATTTTCGTTTTAAAAATGCGAACGCGAGCGGCAATGCACGTTTTACGACCCCTCGGAAAAAAAGAAACCGCGAAAATACATGGAATATAATACACTAAACTCACTGCGAAATGTAAACGGGAATGTTAACGATAATTTGATCACTTTTCTTTTGCGCACAGTAGACGTGTATTTATTTACTATTTGAGATGACCTTTACAGTCTAACATATACACAAGGCTCTTCTTATGTAAAACATTCGCTCTAGAATAAAGATCACGATAGAGTAATAATTTTCGTAGATTATTTGCAACTACCATTTGGAACCCAAAAACGATGTTAGTTACAAGTAGATATGCTAGAATAGCTTACATTTTGTGATGTAGATGGTGTTACATACACAAAGTAGGTGGCCGGGTGAGTGCAGACACAATTCATACTCCCGTTCCACGTGTATAGAGAAGGTTTACCTGGGTCCCAGATACAATAATGCACGCGTGCAAACAAGTTGTTTTTAAGTTTTCGTATTCAGGTAATGCTTTAACTACGTATTTGATATATTAACTGTTTGTCTGGTACAGTGTCAAATGCTTTCATAAAACCCATGTATATGCAATCTATATTCACACGATATTTACACGATATTTAATCGATATTCACACGATATGCGTCATCCGATATTTTAGACAAGGCATCACGAACGCGTTATAGCTGCACAGCAGTAAAGCGGCCGAATATGAATCCAAACGTCTTCCTACTAAATAGTTTGTTTCTTGCAAAAGTGTTGCACAATCTTTTCACGGATTAAAAACTCTCATATTTTGTACACTGTGCTGATGATTCTAATTGACATACAGTTGCTCGGTTGCATCTCTCCTAAGCACTGTGTTTATTGTTATTCTTCTTACTCAGAGTTATGTCAGCAGAAACCTTATTCTTATTTCGCCAATTAGGCTGACCACTGTCCAAGTGACGAGGAACGAACATATCCTGCAAAGTTATATCCCCTGTATAGTCCTTCATACTTAGATAAATTTATGTTCATGTCCCTTTCCACAGCAGCGTACTGTTCCTTGTCAAACGAGTGCTTCATTCGTCGAGTGCTATTAGCTCTTGGTATTATCCATATTAATATAACAGTGTAAGTCAAATGATAATATCGCATGATCCCTGCACCATAGTGCATAGTCTGATTTCACCTATCATATTTTCTTCATTTGTAAAGGTCATGTCAAGTTCTTAATCGTACTTGGTGACCCATCAGTCATCAATCTTATCGGCCGGTGTACATGTTGGAATAAGTACAAATCTCGTATCGATTCAACAAATTTGAATTCATTGCTAAGCTCAGATTTTGTCGTGTTAATTCCACTAAATACAGTTATAGTTGAAATCGCTGAGGAATAGCCTGGTGGTTAATTATCGGTTAGCGGCAGAGCACATCTGATGGGCATATCAAACAGTTTATTGTTCTTGCGAGCCACTGTCATTCCTATACATACATACAATCAAGAGCATATAAAGAATCCCAAATATATATATAATACTCTTCTTTACATGCTCTTGATACAATGGGTAATTTAGCATCTTTATCCAGTCTAATTTCTCTCCAACACGCTTCGTCATAATCCACGAGGTCTTCCATATCGGCAGTCCTAGGAGTTTCGCGAGTGCAAATATGTACACTCGTACCTTCTGTCGACTGAAAGCCACGTTTAGCGAGTGTAATTCGTAAGATATTCACTGTGATGCCCCCCCCCCCAGTGTGATATCTCGATAGTGTTCTTGGCTTGACCTCGGTAATTGCTATAACATAAGCAAGAGCTAATAATACCTAGCTATTATTAGCTCTTGATATAAGGTTTCTCGATAATCGCAATCATCTTTACTTCTGCCATTTTATTTGATGAAGAGTCTGCATAAGTGACAATTAACACACGGCCATTCATTATCATTGTCTTAAGATAACGTTTTTACGTCATGTACCAGCGAAGTATTTTTGCATAGATGCACGCTTACTCTTCATCGATGATGTAAAATTATAATGCTATAATCTATTGACTCCATGAACAGTTAAGTACAGCTAGATAATACACTTTACAGAAAACAATCTGCGATAAGCACATTCTTGTCTCAAACGCAGGTACGCCACGTGATCAGGACGTCATACAGGTATGTCCATAGTAATAACTTACAGAAACATCAATAGTTCGGTTTCCGTTTATGTTTACATCGAACTTGCGTGTTAGAATAGGAGCGTTGAAATCCTGGTAAGGACTAAGGATCTATATACAGGGAAGAGTAAAAACGAGTATAAACTAGATATATGGGTTAATATATCCATCGTTGACAATTTTACAGTTCGTATTGATTACGAAGGGCATTGTTCTACGGCTGCTTCCACCTTCGCGTAATTATGAATCAGCTTAGCAATGGCCGTGCAATAATAAAATGCTCTTTACTATCCACATTACCGCACCTCTGTCTCCGAGTAGTATTTCCATGGCGTTCATACGCACACACAAACACAAACAAACACACACACACACACACACACACACACACACACACACACACACACACACACACACACACACAGATGTACACACGAACGCACGCAGATACGCATGTACACGTACAACCGCATGCAAGCACACATGCTCGTGCACGCGCATGCACGGATGTAGGCGCAGATTTTCCCACCGATTGGCTCTGTGTGCATCTAGATTAAATAATCAGATAAGCTAATGTGTTGATGCAGCGGTGCTGCCCTCCATTGAGCAATTTGATTACTTTTATGGGTATATTCTGATACAGTTGAAATATGGTCAATAGCCACAGATCACGACAGCCGCATGTGTGCTCAAAATTCACTGGTGAGGAGCAATCGATTAGGACAGATTGTGATTAATTGATCGATTGACAGATTGACACTCACGTGTTTAAGGGTTAGGGTTAGTTAATTGCATCACCTGCATTCAATATTCAGTTGTTGTTCTTCGATCACTCAAATAAATTTGTTTGCGCACGCACGGGGTCATTTCTGTGCTAATGCTAGACTGTGTCCGTTTGGATGCTGTGTAGTAGAATGGAAGCTTGCAGTGGGTTTAGTGAAGGTGCCTCAAACGAATGTGGACCAGTCTATGCGAAGCCTGGCACGGTAAATTTCCAGAAAATCGAAGTTTCTTTTCGACATTCGACGTTTAGGGGCCCGAACTGAAACTAGAATTATGACAAAAGTATATAATGACAAATGTCATTGTATGACAATGTAAGAAGTAAGATTCCTGGTTTCCACTAGTGTATGATAGCTACAACATTGGGAACTAGTCTTATTATGATTATGAGGGTTGCTTCTGTATAGTTTCAGAAGTGTGTTGGTGGGAGCTGGGTTGGCGGAACGGGTTAGTGACCAAAGAGTTGAACTCAAACAAGGAGTTGTGAGGCAGGTTGTGAGAGACTTTTAGGAGTGTAGTAAGACTGAGGTACAACATGTAGTGGGACATATTGTGATGGAAGTATCGAAACTTATTTTGAAGTAAGTATTGCAACAGGTATGGTACTATCGAGACAGACTGCCGGAGCTGTATTGGGAGAGGTAGGGTAATACAGTTACTGAACCAGCTGTCAGGATAGTGGTAATACAGACTGCTTTGAATAGTTGAACAGTGGGTTCGCATTGTGTGTTAATCTTGCATGTTGTTCTTACGCGTACGCTTTACCTGCAGGTCTTACCTGTGCGGTATTACCTGTGAATATATCCTCTAGTCCTCGAATGTATACAGTAACACCCTTTACAAGGTTAATTACCACTTACAGTCGTCAGTATTACAACTAGTCTCATATATCAACCACATTTAAAGTCATTCCTAGCTTTCGCGTGAAATTTTTTGTACGGAAGCATAGTATTTATAAATGGATTGTAATAATAGCATATAAAGAAGGATATAAAGATATAAAGAGACCTTCTTTATATGCTCTTGATTGTAATAATAGCGATGTAATAATATCTCCTTCGACAACATCGTCTGACATGTCTGTGATGAATTTCAAGCATGCGTGTACACGCGTGATGCTAACTTATTGTGTAATAGTCAAATAAGCTCAGACGGCCGGTGCGACTGCAACGAATGTTCGCTTGTCGTGCCTCCGTGAGGGGCGTTCGCTTGTCGCACGTCTGTGAGAAGGTCGCGTGCGCCTTGCCGCGGAACTGCGCGCAAGATTCGCGCTTAGCGGGCAGGATCAACACCTCTCAGGCGACGCTTCTCTGGTATCCGGTCTTTCATCTGGATTCGCATTTTTGGTTGGGAGCTAGTGCATACACACGCGCAGCAAGGCAAGTTCAACACATGGATCCGAAGTGACAAGGTCACAACCTATAGACTAATCTTGAGTGCGTGTCTTGTTGGCACAAACCCGCATAATGCAGTGCGCACGCATTGCCCTAGTTAGCAGGCATTCTCAGGCATACGCAGGGAGCGTGTATTTTTTCCTAGGTCAATCAAGAACATAGATAGGGCTCTAGCGAGCGCTGCCATTGGTTGATACAAATCACGTGCCTCAAACTCCTGTTTTCACTGCATTGCATTCACTGCGTCATTGAGCGACGAAACAAGCCCAACCAATAGCAGCGCTCACTACAGCCCTATGTTCTTGATTGACCTAGGAAAAAAAATCACGCACGCAGGCGTAGGTATAAACGGGTAAGTGCAGACATGAGTCATAACCCGCCGTACGCCTGCAGATATCTGAGCATGGACTGTCCCTCGTATCTTATTAAAAACAGGTTGTCGTATGTTTTCGTGCCTTTCGGTGATGCTATTGGTGCCTACAGGAACTTTAATAGCAACTTGTATGCCACGAAGCGTCTACATAGAAGTGAGCAGCAGCAGTAGCAGCGCCACCAGCACCACTACCACCAGCAGCAGCAGCAGCAGCGTTAGCAGCAACAGCACAGCAATGACAACGCTCTACAGGTATGTTAACTATTCTTAACGATTACCGACGTTAGATAACCGGATCGCAAAAGATATATGGCGACGCAATGTAAACGTAACATTACAACGCACGTATAATTATTTACGCAGTTTACAATGTGCTTACATTGGAGGCGGATCGCAGGTAACGGCAAGCGCCACACCCACGGACGTTCTTGTGTTTTGTTGCAGGGACGCAACAATGGCCGACCGTGATCAAGTGCTCAGCATTCAGGTTTATGATGGACTAGATTATCTGCCCAGCACCTACGACAAGCACGTCAAAAAACAATCTGCGATAAGCACATTCTTGTCTCAAACGCAGGTACGCCACGTGATCAGGACGTCATACAGGTATGTCCATAGTAATAACTTACAGAAACATCAATAGTTCGGTTTCCGTTTATGTTTACATCGAACTTGCGTGTTAGAATAGGAGCGTTAAAATCCTGGTAAGGACTAAGGATCCATATACAGGGAAGAGTAAAAACGAGTATAAACTAGATATATGGGTCAATATATCCATCGTTGACAATTTTACAGTTTGTATTGATTACGAAGGGCATTGTTCTACGGCTGCTTCCACCTTCGCGTAATTATGAATCTGCTTAGCAATGGCCGTCCAATAATAAAATGCTCTTTACTATCCACATTACCACACTTTTGTCTCCGAGTAATATTTCCATGGCGTTCATACGCACACACAAACACACACACACATACACACACACACACACACACACACACACACACACACACACACACACACACACACACACAGATGTACACACGAACGCACGCAGATACGCATGTACACGTACAACCGCATGCAAGCACACATGCTCGTGCACGCGCATGCACGGATGTAGGCGCAGATTTTCCCACCGATTGGCTCTGTGTGCATCTAGATTAAATAATCAGATAAGCTAATGTGTTGATGCAGCGGTGCTGCCCTCCATTGAGCAATTTGATTACTTTTATGGGTATATTCTGATACAGTTGAAATATGGTCAATAGCCACAGATCACGACAGCCGCATGTGTGCTCAAAATTCACTGGTGAGGAGCAATCGATTAGGACAGATTGTGATTAATTGATCGATTGACAGATTGACACTCACGTGTTTAAGGGTTAGGGTTAGTTAATTGCATCACCTGCATTCAATATTCAGTTGTTGTTCTTCGATCACTCAAATAAATTTGTTTGCGCACGCACGGGGTCATTTCTGTGCTAATGCTAGACTGTGTCCGTTTGGATGCTGTGTAGTAGAATGGAAGCTTGCAGTGGGTTTAGTGAAGGTGCCTCAAACGAATGTGGACCAGTCTATGCGAAGCCTGGCACGGTAAATTTCCAGAAAATCGAAGTTTCTTTTCGACATTCGACGTTTAGGGGCCCGAACTGAAACTAGAATTATGACAAAAGTATATAATGACAAATGTCATTGTATGACAATGTAAGAAGTAAGATTCCTGGTTTCCACTAGTGTATGATAGCTACAACATTGGGAACTAGTCTTATTATGATTATGAGGGTTGCTTCTGTATAGTTTCAGAAGTGTGTTGGTGGGAGCTGGGTTGGCGGAACGGGTTAGTGACCAAAGAGTTGAACTCAAACAAGGAGTTGTGAGGCAGGTTGTGAGAGACTTTTAGGAGTGTAGTAAGACTGAGGTACAACATGTAGTGGGACATATTGTGATGGAAGTATCGAAACTTATTTTGAAGTAAGTATTGCAACAGGTATGGTACTATCGAGACAGACTGCCGGAGCTGTATTGGGAGAGGTAGGGTAATACAGTTACTGAACCAGCTGTCAGGATAGTGGTAATACAGACTGCTTTGAATAGTTGAACAGTGGGTTCGCATTGTGTGTTAATCTTGCATGTTGTTCTTACGCGTACGCTTTACCTGCAGGTCTTACCTGTGCGGTATTACCTGTGAATATATCCTCTAGTCCTCGAATGTATACAGTAACACCCTTTACAAGGTTAATTACCACTTACAGTCGTCAGTATTACAACTAGTCTCATATATCAACCACATTTAAAGTCATTCCTAGCTTTCGCGTGAAATTTTTTGTACGGAAGCATAGTATTTATAAATGGATTGTAATAATAGCATATAAAGAAGGATATAAAGATATAAAGAGACCTTCTTTATATGCTCTTGATTGTAATAATAGCGATGTAATAATATCTCCTTCGACAACATCGTCTGACATGTCTGTGATGAATTTCAAGCATGCGTGTACACGCGTGATGCTAACTTATTGTGTAATAGTCAAATAAGCTCAGACGGCCGGTGCGACTGCAACGAATGTTCGCTTGTCGTGCCTCCGTGAGGGGCGTTCGCTTGTCGCACGTCTGTGAGAATCTGATCGCGACCTGGCCATCCAGCATGTCTATTCTCAAGTTCACAGGCACAGCGTGATGTTACCAATGTACAACGCTAAAATGCATGTCTTTTTCTACCTTAATTGTCCTGCAACGAGAGAAGACATTCGGGATGCATTGCAAAAGATTGGAATAGAATTTCGTGAAAGTTTTCTCCATACAAAAATCCCCTACATGAGCGGGTATCTGCATCCCGTAACTGACACGCAATCAGGAATGACAAAGAGTGCAACCAACAGCCGTGCATCTAAATTGTAATATTCCGAGAAACCATTTGCAATGTTTGTGCGCACTATATCGATGTTGTACTCTGATTAAATTACAAGCTCATTGCCGCCGTACCCGCACAAATACGGTCCACGTATCGATTGAAACAAACTGATATAAATCCATATCTTTAAATTTCAATACGTCTGTTGTTAATATTACGTTAGGGGATCTGTGTAGACACTCCCATAGATTACTTTAACAGACGCTATAACATGATTTCAGGAGTGAATAATAATAGATAATAATATATTATTATTTACTCCTGATGATATGATGCGAGGTGTCAATCAACGATTTTCGGTCGAAAGTTGGTGTGAACTTTAAAATAGATTATTACTGAAATCCCATGCCAACACAATAAAAATATGAATATTAAAGCTAGTAGTGTGTAGTTATGTCATTTTTCCAACTAAACACAATAGCCAGAAGTTCATTAAACATTCTGACCTCCAACAACTAAGGCAAACTTTCTCAAAATACGAATTAACCTCAAATTACGTTCGGGGAAGGGGTCCCTTCGGAGCTATCGGTTTTGTCTATGCCTCCGAAAGCACCCCCTCCCCGAAGATGGTGTGAGGTTGGAAACTCACATAGTTTGCAACGCGGAATGTACAAGTTATTTTGTATTCAATAAATAAATTTTAGAATGTGTTATTGTAACATCTTCGAAATCTTTCCAGAAAAGGTCAAAAGTCATTAATAAACAATTATAGTTATAGACAAGTACAAGATAGCGTATTAAATTTTGACGACACAAAGTTCATATCTAGTTCTCACTTAGTCGTCCGGCACTCACGTGAGAATTAACATCGATATCTACTCGACCGACCGCGAGATGGCGCTTAAGCACCTGCGTGCAGGTGCGCGCATCAGCAAAGCACGCATATGAAGTCATTAACAGGTCACATTGGGATTCAGTTCATGGAACTGTTCAATTGCCTGCTAGAAAGAGAAGCGATACTTTGGTTAATATGTGCATGGAGCTACGAATTTTTTTTGGATTTTGGGCTGATTGAAAGATCTACGTATGTTTGACTCCCTGAGTCCAATATAACACGTGCACACGCGAAGGAAGATAGAAAAGGTATAACGAAGGCATCACTAAACAGAGCATAGAAACTTTAACAATCGAGGTCTTTACGCGAATTCTATCAAGCGATTATTTGTTTGTTAGAAATGTGTTATCAGATAGTTAAGAATCACATAGATAGATTCTGTGATAAAGCGGGGGGAACATCATCTAAATGCTATATTAAAGGCTCACAATGCGCATCCAAACGCTAATTTCTCCAGTACTAGACTAGCAAATACTTCGTGGCATGCATAATCACACTACCTTATGACAAAATAAACTCAATTCCTCCCATTTCACTGCACGTTGTCTTATAAAAGGTATTTTGAAAATACCTCCAATGTTGTTGAAATTCTCCGATGTTGTTGACAGTATCCCCTATCCCCAAGCAACCGTGCAGCGGTGCTGCGGTACAGCGGTACGGGCGCAGCAAAGATAAAAACATGTGACGTCACGTCACCACTTCGAGGCTATATTGTTTGGCAAACAGTCGGCGTTTGCGCCAGAATGCCAGTTTTCTCACCTCTTTCTTGTGGGTTTTAAGCAAACGCGCAGTGAAATGGGAGCAACTAGAGTTTATTTTGTCATAAGGTAGTGTGATTATGCATGACACGAAGTATTTGCTAGTCTAGTACTGGAGAAATTAGCGTTTGGATGCGCATTGTGAGCCTTTAATAAAAAAAAACTTTGCAATTTGGGTAAGGACAAATCTCTACAGGAATGATTAAAAGTGAGGATAAACTGGAGTTGTAAGGAAAAATATGGGTTGATATATCCTCCGTTGACATTTTGACATTGAAATACGTATAGTAACAATAAAAAACACGGTACATATTTATAGATACACGCACATATAAGGCGAGCGAGTGGCAGTACTAGTGCCAATAATATTATGCCACGCAAAGCAGCGTGGTAGTTTCCCAAAATGCCGTGCGCCGCCTATAGCCCTGTACTTGCATCCATTTACAGAAACATAAATAGATTGCGTATTTATTTAGCATTACATTTTATTGAAACGCTCCAAGTGCCTGTGCGTGAACACGAGCGGTCGTAGCTCCAAGAAACGGTATTGCTAGGGTTAGAATACCGTGACGTTGTATTGACGTTAGTCACACAGCCTGGTCGGGTTAGAGCGGTCGCTGCAGTTGTATTACTGGATCTGCATATTGGCTGAGAGTGCACACGCACGCGCAGTAAGGCAAGTTCAAAACGTGACTGTGATAAGGTCACAGATTAGACTAATCTGGCGCATGTGACCTGTTAGCATAAACCCAATTACGCAATACGCATGCAATGCGTAGTTGCTCTAGTTATAGCATGCAATATCATCAATAGCTAATAATACCTAGGTTTTATTAGCTCTTGATATCATACATACACAAGGCAGGTAACGAGTGAGTGCAGGCATCAGCCATAACCCGCTCTACGCAGGGCCGGATTTAGACATGTGGAAGCCCCTGGGCAGCCTTCAGTAGTAGATGCCCACCCTACCTTAGAATACTAAAAACTACAGTCATCCATAAAGTAAGTTTTTTCAAGTAGAAAGACTCTGAATAAGCAAGCAAGAAAATCGACATTGAGATGGATGACCTTAGATTTTAAATGTTTATCTGCCGACGTGTGCTGAGCAATGACAGGAAAATTCCACTGGCAGATCGACACTGAAACTGCCAGTGGAAAACACCCAGTTAGCTGTTTCCACCACCCACCAACAAATACAATATGGCTTGCGTATGTAAGACGTAAAACGCGCGCAATATGGTTTTGATTGATACGTGAGTGTCGTTTAGGTCAGCCTATATTTTTCCTTACAAATTTCTTTTCATAAAATATGTGGAGGCCCCTGGATGTGGAGGCCCCAGGGCAACTGCCGAGCTTGCCCAGTCCTAAATCCGGCCCTGGCTCTACGCCTGCAGATATCTGTGCGTAAATCAGTGCGTATCCCAAACATGATAACGCGTATCTTAGCAAACAGAGTTTTTGTGTCTTTTTGTGACCATTGTCACTATTGGTGCAAACATAAACTTTGCCCAGCCACTTGTATACCACGAAGCAGGCATCGGCAACACCACCTCCACCACAACCACAATTAACCAGAACCAGAACAGCAGCAATGGCAATGCAATACAGGTATGTGAGCTATTCGTTCAACCCGATCGCAAAAATGCATCGCGACGCGATTATAAGACACACAAACAATGGCAAACGACACTGTATATAGTACACAATGAGTAGACCTTGCGAGAAGTCGAGAAGTTGGTTCTACCTGTGTAAGTTTTTCACGTCGAAACTTCGCGTGCAGAGCGAAAGTATACACAGTTGAAGCTAATGCGGAGAGCAAGCGTGTAGATGGTGTTAGTAAATCGGCAAGAGACCTGAACTTAGAAATCTATTGAGGTATGCCTACTCCAGATCTGCCTCCTCATCTTCAATTAATCACTTTCACAATAATCGCATTTTTTAATTCTATATTATTTTCCCGCCTGCTGTTATACTGAAACAGGATTAGCATTTAGGGGTTACCAGGCATACAAGCTGCGACAGTTGATCATATAGAAATTCTATAATGCGTAGATAAAATTGATTACGTACGTATATGTTTCTAGGGAGATTACAATACGTCACCCACAGACGTTTTTGTACTTTGTTGCAGGGACGCAACAATGGCCGACCGTGATCATGTGCTCAGCATTCAGGTTTTTGATGGGCTAGATTATCTGACCAGCACCTACGACAAGCACGTCACCTCCAGCAGCGGTTGTGCTTATGTCGCCGAGAAAGACGGTAAAATTGTACGAGTACAGCAGTGCAGATACTCATTTATTACATACAAATTAATCTGCTTAGAACCACCTAATTGTCCTAAGATTAGTGTGTTAAGATCAGGAGTGTAGATTAATGTAGTAAGATTTATTTTCGGGATTTCTTTAGGAATATTAACCTGTCTGATTTAATCGATTTGAAAGGGAGGATTCTATAGGCTTTTGATCGGAACGCGTGGCCGCTTGGAATTGATTATAATTACTCAGCCAGATAAAGTTACTCTTTACTATTTGTTATCTGTGCTCACAGGTGGCCTTTGCGTTTCACACGACCTTCAACGATGGTGACGTCATTATTGAACGGGGTGAACGCACTAAACACGAATATCGACGTCTAGGAATCATGACCGCTTTAAAGAAACATGCCATCAGCACGACATTAAGTAGATACCCTAACGCAAGGCTGGTCGGAGACTCTAAACTCTCCATGGCTTTTAACCCGGTTCAGCACCCGGCAGGAACTACTGTCAAAATGGAAGTTGTACGTTTAAATATTGATTGTGAATGATATTAGAGGGATGGGCATGTTCTAACTATAGTAGCAAGGCTGTAGGTCCCGGAGAGGAGATAAAATTGAATGTGTGCCTAATAAGTGTAAACTGAAAATTGTAATAAGTGTAAAAAGACACTTGTGTTTAGCCATAGAAATATTCAGCAACGCGTTCATACATCATTAAATGCATCATTTCTAGCGTCGACAGTGGTCGTAAATGCCATATAAGATAAGCGGAATGCATGTAGAGATCATTTCATGTGTTGCAGCCGCTGTGCGGTACGAAACCAGCCACACCGTATGCCACGGCCAAACACTTCGGTGTCGACGTTCCCATGCCAGACTACGATCATCTACAGCTGCTCAACCACGCCCAGATCCGACAACTGCTGACCTCTAGCGAGAGTTTCACGAAGATCGGCAAGGGCCAGCCGGTTGTTATAAGCTGGGTGCCGTTTACGAGAATGTCATCCGCTGACGTGCAGTTTCTCATGGAATGCGACAACCCAACTGTTATTGCCGATCTGGACGCCAGAGGTCGCTGCTCGTCGGTTAGCTTTGCAAGTTGCTACGAGACCTCGCTCAAAGTTGACCCCACGGACATCCACTATAGAATTGTCATCGACATATATTCCTCTGATCGCGACCTGGCCATCCAGCATGTCTATTCTCAAGTTCACAGACACAGTGTGATGTTAGCAATGTACAACGCTAAAATGCATTTCTTGCTTGCTCTCAACTGTCCTGCAACGAGAGAAGACATTCTGGATGCGTTGGCAAAAATTGGAATAGAACGTTTTATGAGTTTTCGGGATGATAAAATTCCTTCGATAAGTGTCTCTATCCGTCCGACAACGGTCGTGAAGTCAGAGTTGAACAGGGGTATGATGAATGTATCTAAATAGTAATGTACGAAAACAATCGTACACAACATTGGTGTGCACTATGGCAGTGGCTACGGGTACATCGATGTAGGAGGTGTACAACAGTAAGCTGCCGCAATTGTTCACTGTTGCACTATTTCGTTTCTAGAAAATGCCTTTTTTGGCATTTTTTTTCGCCGAAATTCAGCACTAAAGTGCAATAATTTGCATTATGCACGCAAGTTAGATGCCTCG